TCTTCAGAATGTTGACACTTATGGGAGTTGAAGTTTTCACTACATGTTCGACAAAGAAAAAACATTAGTTTATTGTTCATTTTCGCATTCGCATTCCTCTTCACCAACAAGTACTTTGGGATGACCAATAAGAAATTTACCCAAGGGTATAAAGAACAAACATCTACGTATTTGCTTTGTTTACCCTCTTTGGCCTTGTAATGTTCGACAATATTTCCTGTACGACCATCATAGAAAGCATCTCGTGGGTCAAGTGGAAGATTTTTCAAGAGAGGGTGATTTTCGGTGACTTTTTGAATTTCCTCAGAAAGTTCCCGGCGAAAATCACATTCCCACTTCTCGATGGCCCCATAACCCAAAGCTTGATCTGAAAATTGCAAAAAGTTCAGCTCCATAAGAAAATACAAAGTGAGCCTAATTCTGAAGAAACATAACGTAAAGACAGTATTCACAGCCAACAACTAAATCTCCACTATGTTAAGAACCCCCAAGGACACGATACGCAATGAAGCACAGGGCATATACGAAATACCATGTTCAAACTGCCCCAGAACTCACATCGGCCAGACCAATAAAATAATTTCCAACAGAGCCTATGAATATGAACATGCTGTTTGCAAATCAGATCCAGCATCATCTCTCTTCAAACACTCTCTTCACACACAATAAGCTTCGAAATAACCAAGACCATTGCTACGGAGAAAAATCTTCAGGTCAGGATAATTCGGAAGCAATCTAAATTGAAAAACGCCCCAATTGCCTTGACAAGCGAGATGATTCGCAGACTACCACAAACATGGAGGACATTGCTGTCACGCAAGATACCTGAAAATAACTCAGGTGCCCGGTCAGGCAAACCAGATACCTGCTACAACTTAAATATGGGCCCCGAACAACAGAGTGACCAGTACAAACTTTAGAGTGGAACACGTGACTTGAGGACAAGGGAGATTACGAAACGTCGAAACGATGAAAATTACATACGCGGTTCAACCCGGACAACATCGGGACAACACCGCATATGTGATTTTCATCGTCTTTAAAATGATGCTTTAAAAATGATGCCAAATGACATGCATATCACCGATCAAGTGATTTTTCTTCCCTGTCAAATTTGACATTTTTTCCAAAAAATGTTCAGAAAAGCAGTTATTGCTCGAAATTTCGAAAATCGGTAAAGAGAAAAGATTGTTTTTTTATTTTTTACCCATATACCAATTTTTAGCTCTCTAATACAAATTTAGTTTTTTTAGTTTTTTGAAAATTTGACATTTGCCGATTTCTCAAATTTAGCCAAACGTCAACAAAGTTAGAGCTTTATGCCTACCTGATCTTTCCAACGCATTTTTATTACCAATTGCAATTCTAAATACAACTTATTTCGCAAAAAGTTAAAACACCAGAAAAAATTATGCCAAAAATGATGCAAAGTTGATACAGTTTTTAAAAACAGATAAATATTTCACTTTATTTCTACTTTTTGCGAAATAACTTGGTACATAAGCATAATTAAAAAACAATATCAATGAAAAGTCAATAATTTATTCTTTACTGCACTTTTCAAACAGTTAAACTTTAATTTACTAATTACGAAAAATTACAACGCAATTAAACTAAGGAAAGGA